CGAACATAACCCCAGAAGTCACTATCTCAAGTATGCTTCCCCGAGATAGGTACTTGAACGTCGTAAACGTTAGGACAACCGTTACCGTTACTTGACCTTATCTCTGCTTATCTCTGCTCCTATTCACCCGAATTGCGCGATCTTGAGCTACCTTGAGAAAAGGTACCTCGATTTGACTCCCTTGGCTCCATGAGCACAAGACCCCCTTCCAGATCGTGTTCCTTACTCCCGGTGGCAGTCTTTTAACCCTCCAACTACATTGGGCCATGATGACCGGGAGGGGATCACTTCCTATGTTCGGTCCAAATATTGTCCCCTTCCATGCGGTGCGGGCGGTTACCGTCGCGAAGCGACGTGAATAATGATTCGAAGGGTGAGTGATGAGCAAATCTTGCACGGCTCACTACCACCAAGCAAAAGAAGAGGGGACGGCTCTCACAAATCCCAAGGCTGTTCAATACCTTAGAATGAGCTTGGGAATTGGACATGGCGCGTGTCTTGCACCTACCTGTGGAGCCAACTCAAAAGTAGACAGCATGTGCATCTTCATGCCTTCAGGTCACAAATGTATCAAGTCCCTCTCAAACCCCTGTGCCAGGCGATTGTAGCCCGTGCCCGCCCCGCTGCCTGCATCCTGAAGTCGCGATTGTCGCTGGCCAGGATGCCGAAGAGCCCCTCCAAATAATGGGGCAGAAACGCTATCATATCCACCTGGTCGAAAAAGAGAAGAGCCAGCGAAAACCCAGGCGAAATGTTGCTCGAGGGCCTAAGAGGAGGTGGAACTGGTTGTCTGTATGTGCATCAAGTAGGAGACAAATCAAGTAGATCGTCAGTGCATGTTCCTTTTCTCTTGCGGAAGATTGATTTGGCCTGTCTTGCGCGGATGTGGGGGGTCTACCTGAAAGGTCAAGTATATGTTGTTGGGGGCTCCAGGTTTTGACCCATCCCCAATTAACCCCAGTGCTCACCGATTACTGCTGGCATGATGCTGCCAGTGAATCAGCTGGCCACCATCACTGGTCTTGGTCAGGTTGTCTTCAAGATATCTCTGGGTCCATGTAGTGAAAATGTCCTATAAGTGAACCATGGTGAACCTCAGCCCAATGTACATGAGCACAATCGGTGCATTCAGAGCGCCTGTGGCAGGGAGTCGAGGAGAACGATCCAGCCCAAGACCAGTTGGCGAACCTGCGCGGAAGTGCAGGCCATGTAAAGTTCAATAATACTAATCGGATGCACGTTCAGTTGAAATGGTGACAGGATAAAGACCGTACACTCCCGGAAGCGAATTTCACCAATATTGAACAAAGTCTGGTTGAAGAAACCGTCTCCAGGCATTGTCAGGAATACTTCCCCACATGTCTTAGACGGTGCTTCTTATCGCCAACGACCCCCCACCGAGGGGTTCAGCACATGGATCCGTGCGGCGATCAGCGGAATCAGCCTGGGCAGGCAACGGCAGATTCTGCTCGGACCAAGAAGGACGAATCGACGGACTGGCGCGACTCGTCACAAATGAGGGTGGCTATCCAAAGGAGTCTTTGGGTGGGGACTGAGTTTCCCTACATGTCCCACGAAGCAGCCAGAGGAAGGGTGGATGAAAGGATTCATGTGGATCCGAATCACGCCTTCTTGTGGCCCAGCCATGTCCAGAAAGGAAGAGAAAAAGCAACACAAAGTTGCAGAAAAGAAAAGGTCGTTAATTGCTGCAAGAGTTTCTAGCTCATGTGACACACGCGAGTACGTGGCTCAAGTGGTTTCAGTGTGGTCATACGATCTCCACCCGCCCCTGGCCATTCGCTTGATGTTTCTTTGCATTCGGTCTTCCCACAAGCCGAACTTTAGAGTTTTCTGACCACACCTTCCTCTGAGCATTCACTGCAGTCATTGTCTTGAACTGTGAGATTTGGTGCGGAAGCAGTTCGTCCAAAGTCATCCCATCTGGATTCAAGTTGTGACAGCTATCTGCTATCTGGAGACTTCTTAAAGAGTCGAACTATCTATCTATCTGCCGCCCAAACCACCATACCAAGAGCAGCCTCCAACTCCGCCCAGCCACGTGGAGTAGTCAAAGCGCCGCTGCTCCACGACGATGTCCCGGACCAAGCGATCCAAGCTTTGGGCGCCCTCCTTGATGGTTTGTTCCACGTCAGTATACAGCCTCGCCCGTTTCGACACGAAGCTGTTGGACAACCATTTACAGTAGCTGTGTTAAATTGCTACGGTATGTAGGGAGCAGTCCTCTGTACTGGAATGTTCGAACGGAAATGAGAGAATCTTTGGCAGTCCTATCCCCTTGAAGACATCAAACCTTGGCAAGAATCTGGTTCTATTTTAAGATGGATTCTATCTCCCAGCGGGTGCTGGCCTAGTATCATCAAAAATAATAAGCCTCTCCGTTGCAACGACTTGTAGACAAAAAGAACGAGGAGCATTCCAAGGCGTTTGCACCATTTTTGCCCCGACTCGTTTGTGTATGCTGGGCGGGTGCACTCATTTTGAGTCCTGTTTTCTGGCATTTTTCCGGACCCCGTGAAATTGAGGTCCGTCCAAATCTGTAGGGATCGGCACTCCTTCTGCGCGGTGTTTCACACATCGCCGCCTTCTGCGACATGGATAGTTCAGGACCCAAAAGAACGCCAAGCTCCCAGTGATGGTCACCCGCAACATAAACAAACCGGTCGTTGCAGCGATGCAGACGGTATTCGCTGTATTCCGATTTGCATGGGTTCCGAGCAGCTTGCAAAGGCCGTCAAAGACGGACTCCATATCTTGAAGCACTCCGCGGCGGATGACTTTGGCCACGTTGTAGAAGGCTTCGCAAGCCTTGTATCTGACGTTGGAATCCTATCCATGGCGCACAAATCACACAGGCCACACTTCGGACTACTCCGCAGAATGAAGAAACAAATGGGGAGTGCTGAGTGCAGTTGCAAAAGTCCAAAGTCATGAGTTCTTTTCTTGAACACCGAAAAGAGAACGAATTCGCTCACCACCCCTTGCGATAGTCCTTGAAAAAGGAACGTCACCCGCGGATCGTCCGCTCTGGTCCGGGTGCGGAGTAGTCGTCCTCATCGGAGAAGCACCGGAGGATTGGCGTGGTAATCTCGTGGGCAAAGCATTGAGCAGATTCCTCGGCGCCGCGGCGTCCGAGATCTGCGGTGATCTCAGTATGAGGGCATCATGTTGGACTGCTCCACTGAGATGTATGAGGGACAGATCGGAGCGTGATCGTTGGTCGTGCTATGAGTATGACTCCGTTTGGTTGGTTTGGTAGGTTTACATTATAAAAGATGCTGGGAAAATGCTTCATCACGAGCCATGAGGCTGGCAGGAGGCCTTTTGAATGAAACAGACGTTGTGACCTGCTTGAAGCCTCGAGAGGTGTCCTTTGAAAGTTGTACAGGCCACTGACGGGGCACAACAACTGATGTGCTACAAGTTATATATATATATATGTGGTCCAAAGCCATCCAAAACCTCGTGTTTCTTCACAGATCTTCCAAGATCCAGACTGCAGGCTTTCCAAGCTATTGAAGTTACCTTTGCATGCATCCCGACGCCCAACGGAAGTCCCACCCCTCCCGCTCCGCTCCACTGGGACATCCCCACATGTTCCAAGAGAAAGGTCAGCTCCCTCAGAGCCACCAGTCCCTCGATCCGAGCGTTCGGCCTTGGCGCCCGGTGAATGGATAGACAGACTCGTGCTTCTGGGCTGCGTCCAGGACCATCTAGAATGGAGTTAGTTCAGTATTGTGCAGTCCTGCAGTGTCCTGCAGCAGCTTTGGGACCAACACGGTCCTCCATTTCAGCCAAAACGATCTTCAAAGTCCCAATATGTTGTAAAACTGACTCTGACCTTTGCGAGACTTAGATCCAACTCATCTTCCAGCACAAACTGCTGTTAGACAGGTTTGCCCTGCAAAGGCTGAACCTCTTGGCAAAAGCTCCCAGCACTTCCCATCTGCAGGCAACAAAAGTCCTTATCCCCTGTGCTTCCAACCATGCACTGGTGAAATAGTCCTGGCAATCCGGAATCCACAGCTTTGGGCAAACCCCCCAGCGAATGATTATCTCGCCCAACTGGCCCCAGCTAGCTGGCTCCAGCTCCGGATCATGTCATGGATGGAATGTCCAATCGTCGGATCAGCCTGAAAGGCCTGATCATCTCATCATCAAGATCCACCCTCCAAGAGTCAGCTGCCCCAAAAGAATCTTTAAATAAACAACAAGAATAGGTAGCGCTCCTTGGATGTGGCTCCAAAAGAAATATGACAGAAGCGACCTGCAGATTCTTTTGTCGTCATGTGTTCCACTTACCAATCTTACAAGGGAATATGATACGGGGTTGCCATTTCTGAACCATAGCCAATTGGCATCAATTGGAATCAGCCTGGACTTCTGGAACGTCTCCAAATACGGATCCCTTTCGCTCCTCCACTATGCGGTGAATCAAGCGAGACACCTTCTGCACTGCATCGGCCTGGCGAGAACGACCACGGTCTGGGCATGCACAGTTCAACATGACACCTTTGCACCGGAGTTCTCGTGGCGAAAAGAGGGACAGTTCAACTTCAGATGACTCAACTGGAAGCTCGAACCCGCCCAAATCGTCTTTCCTCAAAAGCCACCGAAAACTCGCGTGGGCGTATCTGCCTTGGATAGCTGTTGGCTATGCAGGATCCAAGCAATCCAAGCTTCTGCCTCATCCGGTGTCTCCGGCGTACCCCCCCTCTTCCATCCACAACTCTGAGACAGCAAGGCTTGCAAGGCACAAGGAAGTACTCACGAGACCCACCAAAAAAAGCAGGTTCAATTGCTAAAGGACGAGGTCAATGGGGAAGATAAGACACAGAGTTCTCAAAGATTGTGGCACACATCTCAAGCTAAACCAGAATTGGAAGCACTTCCAACTGGGTCAGTTCTAGACAGCCTCCAGATTTGGAGCAAAGACTATGAAGCCGAAAGAAGTCGGAACAGCAATCAGAACCTAAAAAGTCTGTCGGCACGCTCGTCACATGCCTTCTGTCTGGTCTCCGTCTTCTTCTCATCCAATAATCCATCGATGACACCTGGAGCAGCAGTCATATGTCGTGCAGCACTGAATTGTCTCCGCTGACCCAGCCCACTGTAGGTCTGCTTCTGGCTTCTGGCATTGATATGAATCAGAATCAATGCAGTTCGCCAGTCAAAGTTCCAAAGCTACTGGGTAAACCGTAAACCAAAAAAGAATGTCTCCCCAAACACGGCACATGCTCATACAGTCGGCAAGGTCTTCCACAACATCCAAATCAATACGAATCCATAAGATATCCGAATGTGTCCATGACTGTGAGTCCAAACCCTGGGTTTCTCCATGTGCAAACTTCCGAAGTTCACCTGCCACACCTGTGCTTCATCGTGCATCATCAATTTGCCAAAAAGAACAGAAACACATCTGTTCGACTCCGTGGTGCGGCACCCTTCCGACTCCTTCCGTACCCATCCCACAGAGTGTGGTTTTCTTCCATCCACCAATCCACTTCTCCTGCAAAACCAATCAAACAATCCACATGTTGCACCTGCAAAACTCTGGTCCGTCGACTCCATCGCGCGAGCGCGAGATTTTCGCGCGAGCAGGCGGCGTGAGTCGCAGTTTTCGTCGGACGTGCGTCGGTTGGGGTTGGTTGGTTGGTTGGTTGGAATTCCAAGCGCCATTGAATTGAGTTATAGAATGGTTCTTACATGTTCTTACCATTCCGCTACAATAGTCACTAGTCGAAGGGTCCGTGAGGTGCGCCTACACGTAGTGAGAGACCGAACAACCATTGTTTCACTAAGGATGTTTGATTACAAAACCAAGCCAACCTGCTTTTTAATGGCCTTGGAAGGCTGGGGCTGGCGTCTTCTATATATATAATCATAATCCTTTCACAATGCCACGAAGGGCTTCAGTTGTTTAAGTTCCTGATCTCTTTCAGACCAACCTGGTCATATCCGGTAGAATAGCAGGATCAATTCACCAGCTGAAAAACTGATCCCATGGCTTGGCTGCAGAAGCCACACAGCTGGGTCTGTTTCATCACAAAGTAGTAGCGTCCTTGCTAGTAGTAACAAAGGGCATCGCTACTAGTAACAAGGACATTACTACTAGTAGCATTCTAGCTACTAGTAGCGTCCTTGTTCCTAGTAGCGATACTCTTTGTTACTAGTAGCCTCTTGTTACTAGGAGTAGTAAGGCCAGGAGCTACTAGTCCTTGCTCCTAATGGTTTCTTCTCGTGATGAGAGGAGAGCCAATTTCTATGGGTGCAGTTCTGATCTAGCAGGTGGTTAGGGGGCTCTTGTAGCTCCTTGGGAAGTATGGATACCCCCAGCTCCTTGGACAAATCGTGGCAAACCGGCCGAACCTTTGAACTTGTCATTCAAGCCTACAACTCGACTCGAGTCAACTGAGAACGGCAAACCAAATATATAGAGAGAGAGAGAGAGCGGGTAGTTGTGGCAGTGCGCTTTTTGGCCCATTTGGTATGACAAATTGATTATTTAAAATATATATATATATATACCTCATTCAATTGTAGTTTCATTCTAATTCAGTTCTAATTCATCTCTACGCGCATGCTAATTCAAGTTTCTTTCAAATTCAATGTTAATTTAGATCTTAAAAAGTTAATTCAAATCCAATTTATATAACTCCATTCAAACCTAATTTCAGTTTGTAAAATTGAATTTTCAAACCATTTTCATTGTAAGTTAATTCTTGTTCAATTCAAATTTGATTCTTGGTCAAGTCTAATTTAATTCCAGAGGGCAGGTGTTGCTGGGGGTGTGAGTTTAAAGCTAAATGCTATAAAATTATGTGTTTTACAGTGTTTTCTTGCCCTGGGAGTTCTGGGAACTAGGTCAAAACACTGCTTTTGAGTAGACAAATAAATTTGTTCAAGTAATATTTGAAATAATCATTTCTATATTAAGAAAGCCTTGTATAAAAGTTTCTATGTCACAGGTTTTCCTCTATATAGATTTCTGGAATGATCCCGTCTATAACAAAATAGTTTAGCTAATTCAAGAGTTTTCCTCTTCATTCTCTGGACGTGTTTACATTAAAAAACTACAATTGAAAGCCCTGTTGTTCAAAAATTTTCCTTTAAATCTTTGAGGACAATCATGTCCATATTTAAAATACATGTATATAAGCAGTTATTTTAAAGCTTACCCGTTCATTTCTGAAAATATAATAATCCTGTCTATATTAAAAATGCCTTCTACATTGCAAGTGTTTATTCCAGAATCACTTCTACATTCAAGACAAATATAAAGGCGTGCATTTCCAAAGCTGTCCCCAAAATCTTTGGGCATGATGATTTGTTTAAAAACTATATATAGAAGCTGTGCATTTCACTAGAAAGGATCTCTATGAATAAATATGTTTATATATAAAAAATGTATAAACATATATAAATAGTTTTTTTTCACAAATGTCCCTCCAGAGAGTTGGGATTGATCACTTCTATATTGAAAAATTTTGTTTGAGTTTCTTGTTTAAAGTTTTCCTCTGGATCTCTGGGAAAAGAGAATTTCCAGAGATGTGTGTTTTCATGAATTTTTTATGCAATATATATTTTTCTGCCACTTGAAAAATCACACCTTTTTATGGAATCCGGTCTCAAAACACGCAATTGAGCACCAGTCGATCGCCGACTGTGGACATTTGTGATTGACAACGCGTCTGCGCGCAACGTTGAAACACCAAGTGACACGCTTGCCTCTTGATTTACGCTCAGGTGCTTCACAAAAGCCATGCATCGTTGGAATCTTCCATTTACCCTCGAGAAGCTCACAAAAGGTCACAAAAGGAATGCACCGGCACAGGCTCTTTGCTGCAAGCACGCAGTAAGCTACTTGCAGCAGCACTTGCACTTCAAGCCTTTTTGCAAGCAACAGCAAGCAAGAGCAAGTGCAAAAACGCTTGCTAAAACCGAAGCAGAAGTGAGCAAAGGCAAGAGCAGAAGCAAAAGCAAAGCAGAACGCAAAAGCCGAAGCAAAAGCAGAAGCAGAAGCAAAGCAAAAGCAAAAGAAAAAGCTGTCCATTCTCATCCAAAGAAGCTCAGTCGCGCCTTTTTGCACGGGGGTTGTCACGGTTTGCTTTCCCCGGTTTGCTCCTTCGGGGTGATGTCACATGGTGTGGGGGGGTGGGCAGTTTTTGCAATCTTCATTTTGAAGATGCCCACCACTCCCGCCCTTTGCTTGAAATGTAAAAATACGGTATACAAATTCGAGACACCCGGAAAACATAGTTTCCTGAAACTTACCAACACAACACGATCACCGTTGGTGAGCTTTGTCGTCCATGTGCATTTGGTGTCTCATCCAAAGAAGCTCAGTTTTTTTGCACGAGTGGAGGCGCTGTGTGTGCAGGTCATGCACAAGTCACCTTAGTCGAGTTAAGAAGGAGTTACTAGACAGGTTGCACATAACACGAAAGGACCAAAGCAACCCAACACCCACCAAAAAACAACACAACAAAACCCAAAAAGAGCGCAACCTGTAGCGCAGCTCCGAGAGCCAAGAAGGCATGAAGAAGGTGAGACAGGGGCGATGAATTCCGCAAAACGCTCAGTACTTCTTGTTCTTCATGAAGCGGAGCAAGGTGCAATCGAATCAGGGGCATAAGAGCCCAACGAGCAAACGGTTGCATGTGCTGTTGCAAGTACTGCTTAGGCATTTATCACCCTGTGAGTGCCGTAGCACCACCAAAAAGGCAAGGATGAAAACGATGGAAAGGATGGCACAGTCTAAAATTGCAGCATTGCTACTGTGCTCATACCACCAGTGAAAGTGTGCATCAAATAGAAGCGAATTGTTAGTGAGGGAATGGCCCTTTGACCTGGGTCCATTCGTCACGATTTGCCTTTTTGCCAGCTGGTAGCCACGAATGCGGAACCAAGGAGGTGCCGTCAAAGGAAAACCACGGTCACTCAGCTCGGTATTTCCAAAAAGCCGAGGATGAAGGACAGCGCAAGGTCACCGAAATGGTTCAAAAGAGGTGGCAAGGGAGAGGTGCCTCCCTTTCCTCCCCCAGAGGGGGAGGCACAAGCAGAGCATGTCAGGCAAGTCAAGCACACAGGGCTTGACACAGAGCGTAAAGCGTGACGTGCTCCAGGTGTGGGCAGCCATCCTGGACAATTACTGCACTTTGTGTTGCTTTTCATCTTCTATCAGCCTCTTTCCACCGCGACCATCAGGAGCGGCCAAAACATGCATGTGCCCCATGAACTATGATACTAAGTTAGGAGGTGAAACAGGGTGAGACGCAGTTTTCCTAATTCTGTACACTGTACTCATCCAGAACCACTACACGGGTAGCAGGCTGGGACTGGCTAACTACTCAGTGTCGACGAAGGCAGCTAGCACTGTGTCATTGGCTGGTACGCACAGGACCAGCACACGGGTGTTGGTCAGCAGCCTACTTTGCTTATGTAGTCATTATTGGTAAACAAGTGCGCTTGCAGCTTTCAAAAAGACATAACGAGGTATGATTGGGATATGATTGGGGTCTAGCCAGCACACGGGCGCAAGCAGTGACGCAAGACATCCGTGAGCACGTCGACACCAACCCTTAATCGAGGGCAGCAAAGGAGTCATCTGCCCATTGATCCTCGTCTTCTTGAGTGCGTGGCAACCATCGAACCCAATTCGGCATATCTAAGTTGTCACAGCGAAGAAAAGCATTTCCTCGAGAGTAGGTGCCCCGCCAGGTCACTCTTTGGCCATTTCTCTGAAAGCGACAGAGCTGTGTGCACCCCGCAAAAGCTCGTCGTGCAATATAGAGCAATGTGGGAGGCACGTGCACCTCTGTTAAGGAGGCACATTTGAGGAAGGCTTCCTGTCGAATCATCCTCAGTACTCCAGGGAGTTTCAATGTTTGCAAGTGTTTGCAGTGTGCAAAGGTACCTCCCATGATTTCTGTGATTTCAGTTCGTGAGAATCTACTAATTGCAGCTGCATACACCGCTCGCAGGCACCCGGCCCCATCCAATTAAAATCTGGAGGTAGGGTCAATGCGGTTAAGCCAGCTTCCATGAAGCAGCATTCCGGCAAACATCGCGTCCGGCCGTTCGGATGGTACTCCGTCAGCTCGAAATTGATTTGACGCAGCACTGTACATTTACGAAAGGCTCGGGGCATGAGTTCTGCCCGTGGAGCGAGCTGATTGGTGGCCGACCTACTGTGGGTACAGGCAACCCATGCCAATGGCCTGCGAACAGTTCCTTACTACT